ATATATATACCTATAATATATTTGGAATCAAACACTCATGTACTATTAGTATAAGGTGCCAAATAAAATTGTATTGTATTGTATTGTAATGTTGTGCACACAACCGAGTTAAAAATGCATGAGAAAAGCTTGAATACTTTCAAAAACGATGTTAACATCAGCAACAACGAAAACAAAAACGACAAGAAATGAAGGATTTGTTTTCACTTCATTCAAATATAGTAGTCAGCCTGTAGGTATTTCACATCACAAAAACGTAGGTTCGATTAGGAGTACACCTTGATTAACAATCGGCTCTGTTTGGTATCATATGCAGTTTCTTTTAACTTATAGCGAGAACCCTTGAATTAACGAATAACGTGATTACTAAAACGACTTAACCAGTAATAATAAAGAACCGCTCCCAATTATCAGAGTCTTCGTATAAAGCTACAATAAGTTGGATGATCTAAAACAAAACGCACCGAATTCATTACTGAGATTTAGGGCTTGAGGCGAATCAGTGTTAGTGTGCCAGAGAAACAGGACATATTCTAACTGACCCCTGCCACTATGAGAATAGTGCACTAGAAAATGAATAATATTATATTATTATTACATGTTATATGTGTTCTAGATTTAAACATGAAAAATATCAGCTTATTATATATTATATATTTTATAGTATTACAACCACGAGGTACAGTAAGTACAATATTTACGTACAAAAAAAGCGAAAGACTACCAAGCCAGGCGCTACCGACTGAAAAGCCAAAAGACGCACGCTTGCTTTACAAAAAGGTTTGTTAAACTAAGTAAGCAAAACTGGAGATAAAAATAAAGGAAAATCAAACACTAGAATGAATCTACGAACCTTGGGGTCGAGTTTACGATATTCTTCATCATCTTCGTCAGCGGAGAAGAACAGTGCGGTCGAGGTGATAGTCAAGGAGCCTGGGACGACCACACATGGCGCAATCATGTGACAATTTGTAGAGAACAGGACCTGACCGGAATCATCAGTTTCCAGGCTCTTCTCGTCCGTGATGATCTCATTGAGGATATCCTCTTCGTCTAAGGAGTAGGAGTCTTCGATAGCAGACGATGAGATTTTGGCGAAGTTGAGTTTTTGTTGTGCTTCCTTGCTCAATAGGTCTTCGGTGTCTGTTGATAAGGGCGATTTCAAATAGTGTCAAACGGACCCTTTAGCTTGGGTTTATAATGTTTTATTTATTTATTTTTTCTTTCGTGTTTTTTCCATTTCACGAGAAATATTTTCTCATTTCAAGTGTCATTCGCTTAAAAATTTTTCTTTGTTTAGGTTCCATCTATAACCATATGTCTTCCCATGCGTAACCGTTAAACAAAGAAATGATGCTCAAGGGAATGACACGTAGTCTGAAATGGGACAATATGGACCAAATCCACATGTATTTTTTTTTAGAATAGATTCTTTATTTGAGTTGTATCCATATTCACGTGCCTTCTCTTGGCAATCATTAAACAAAGAAATGATACTCAAGGGAATGACACGTAGTCTGAAATGGGAAAACATTAAGCTGAGCGCATCCGACCAGAGGAGGCCTATAAAAGACAATGAAGAAGCAATGTATAGTAAAACTTTTTTTTTCCGTTCCCTGTGTCAATATATTAATTACAGTACATTTTTGGTTGACCTTTGCATATGACCCAGTGTCCTATTGGTCAGTTCTTCAACCAGTTTGGCAGAGCGTATTGGATTTTTGGATTTTTTGTATATATATTTATGCTTTTGTAGGGTTGTGTCTTCTTTATGTATAGTTCGTGTTAAAATTGAAAATTAAAAAATTAAAAAATTACCTTGTAAGGATTGGATTAGAGTAGCCTCTGGGTGACTCGATCCATGCTGGTTCTTGACGAGCAGCATTCGTCGTCTGCTGTCGTCCTCACATAAAGCAAGACGATGGAACGATACTTCATAGGATGGTTCAGCTGGTGCCCAAGCTCCTTGTTCACTCGTTAGGATGTCTTGGATCTGCAAGGATGAAAATTAGATATAGATAAAATGCCTATGATTTAAAATTAACCCGGGTCTTCTGTTAGGTTACTTAGGGTTTGAAGCATGGTGTAATAGTGTGAGCAGCCCCGCAATAGGTTGCGTTGCATAGGGAAGTCCTTTAAGCTTCTGTGAAAACAAATTAAACCAGAATTAACTGTCCCCAACCTCACCCCACCCACCCACCCTGACACCATTCCTACAGTGATATGTAGTGTTTCTGAAACGAACGTTTTTCCATTTCAGACCACGTGTCATTCTTTTGAGAATAAGTATGCAATACCGTTAAGCAAAGAAATGATACTCTAGGGAATGACACGTGGTCTGAAATGGGAAAGCATTACGTCCAAGCTAAAGAGGTCTATAGACTCCTTGCATTGATTTCCTAGAGGATTATTGTTCTGGAAGTTCTTATGCAAAAAACAAAACAAAACAAAAACAAAAAACAAACAAACAAACAAATCCATTATTTCGTTCCCCAGAACAATTTATCTCGGGACTCAATGCTAGTGGTGTGTAGGAAGGGCGAAAAGAGAGTTCAATCTTTGAAACGTTTCAAGACCTCGTGTCAGTTTTTATTCTCACCTTAACGAGCAGGCCTTTAGCTACACTACTATCTCGTCGTCTTGAAGCAACCAACATCTTGCTTTGCAGGTCTTCGCTCTCCAAATAAAGATCTCGGGTGAGCCTACTGAGTTCTTCAAACTGGACATGCTTCTGCTTTGAGATGTCCTGTAGTTTGGCCATGATGACGTATGCCTCGCTGGTTGTCATGACAATGCGTTCACGCATCGCATGGGACAGTAATCGGCCTTCGTTGATCAGCTCCATAAAAGCAGCACCTCCATGTCTATTATACAGAGACAACACTATTAGTAAATCTGCAATAAATCTTTATTCTTAAATCCATTAATAAAGTCCTAGAGCCATGTCTGTCTGTCTGTCCATGTCAGTCACTGGCTATTAAGTGCTACCCTTGTGAAAACAAGGACGAATAATACAGCTTTGTCAAATAGCTAAAAAAATAATAAAACAAACCTCTGTAACGAGTTCTGCCATTCCTGAGAGCACAGAAGCATGACGAGCTCAACACTAGAATCACTTTTTTGACAAGACAATCCCTCAAACACCAACTCTTGCCCGTGGCTTCCAAGCAACACGCGGGACAAAAACGGGCTGAAGTCCAGAAGAATTTCTTTTAACAGAGAACCACATGATTTAAATCCGACCTCGACTTTCTCCGATAAGCTTAACCGACTGAATTCCGACGTCTTTGGAATGGTGGGTATCGCAATCGATTCCTCTTGGTAAGAGAAAACGTCATCTTCGGCGTCTACTGTTTTGCTTCGCTGACCACCCCAGCTGGCGGCTCTGTTTCTTGTTTTGTCTACTCCATTTATGTTGAGCGTGTTTTCTTCTGAAAATCAAATAACAAACGGTTAAAAGACATAAGTAAAGACTCCTTCTTGGGGGGGGGAGAGGTCTTAACTTGACCATTATGTCAAGGGTAAAGATCAAGCAAACGAACTGGGGTTTGGTAAAAGACATTAGTAAAGACTTTTTCTTGGGAGGGAGGAGGTCTACACTTGACCATTACATCAAGGGTAAAGTTCAAATAAGTGGAAATGGAGAAAAGAATGAAAATCCTCAACTGGGGCGAGTTGTGAGGGGAGGGGAATAGGGACTTAGAAATGAAAGCGTTAGGGTACAAAGCAAAGTCTGAGCCATGTTTGTGCTACCTGACAAAAGCATTAAAATCAAGCTACTATTGTGGAAATATCAATGCGGGGGATCAAATATTCCAAGCCAGAGGATTTTAGACTGATTCCATAAGTCGGTGTTTTCGCTCTTTAGTCGATTCTGGATATCGCTAACACAACCCACAAAGGAGCGAAAACTACGACTTATGGAATTAGTCTAAGAGGATTTATCATTTAGCAGTACAATCATCTTACGACAGGGACCTTTTACCTGCAGAAGGTGATGTATTAAACCTGCCTCTACCATCTCCCTCATCACTCTTCAGTAGATCCCTATACCTAGCTACCATCATGACAGCGATGAAGTACACTACTGTCAATGCAAGGAACTGAGCCTGTCTGCTGTCCTCGAAGTCGCGGTATACCACAGCACGCAGTCGGTTCACGTCCATCTCTTGCAGAAGCTTTTCGGGATCAGTAACGGTGGTCATGTGGCCGGGGATATTCTGAAGCATATCCTATAAAGATTAATATGAAATAAAATAAAGATTATATTTCAAATGACTAGCGAGCTAATCATTCCTATAGTAAGTCATGACTGTAAACGCCACAGCACGGTAGTGGTACGTAATTGACAAACATTTTTGGACCAATCACAGAGCGCGAAAACAGTGCGGTTTGTTCATTAAGAATGCTCAGACATGGAACCGTTACGGTCACGGTACCACACAATTGTAACGTGATTATTTTACAGTCTGAAGATTCTGAAATGCGCTCTTTTTTAGGGCGCTCTTCGTTAGAATGACATAGGGACCGCTTATTTTTACCGGGGAGGGGACGGGGTAGAGCGGTGGGCTAAAGAGGGGACCACACAAAAAAAATCAATAACAAGAATCGAAARCTAGGGTGGTCCTATTCTTTAAGCGACAACGGAGAGGGTGGGTGGGATTTCTTGTATGAGATACCAAGCAAATTCCAATGCTTCTCCCCCCCCCCCTCCCCCTGATAATAAGAAATGGTCCTAAAGGTCATTGACATACCATCTCAGATGGAGGCTCCGTCGAAGCGATAAGTGCCTTGATTGCTTCGCGTGTTTCTTTCAGGGTTTTCTTGGTAACCCGGCCGTCTTTGGCCAGCGGAAATATTGGTCGGTTGCGTTGTCGACAGACGAGTCGATTGCGTGCCGCACAACAAAACACTACAAGAAAATCGTATTCGTTAGTCATGATTTAATGGTATAAATGGAGATTTCTACGAGTTATTTATTCCAGCCTTAAGTTGAAACGAAAACGTGCCACAATTTTCCGTAACACAAATTGTTTATAATAGGGAAGAAAAAGTAGTAAAAGCTATCGTCTTAATAGACCCATATAGATCAGATTGGGATTTTCTCAGTTGTTTTCCCATTTCAGACCACCACAAGTCATTCCCTTGACAATGAAATTATCTTATCTTTTCAAGTGTTTCTGGTAAGCAAAGAAACGATGCTCAAGGGAATGACACGTAGTCTGAAATAGAAAAACATTAGGCCCAAAATAAATAGACCTCCTCGGCTCTGACGTAATGTTTTCCCATTTCAGACCACGTGTCATTCCCTAGAGTATCATTTCTTTGTTTAAGGTTTGCGCTCGGTTGCACATGGGAAGACACATGAATATGGATACAACTCAAACAAAGAATCTTATTCTCAAAGAATGACACATGGTCTGAAATGGGACAACATTACGCCGAGCCGAGGATGTCTGTTAAGAAGGTAATAGGTTATTTTTCGCAACTCACCGAGTCTAAGACACTGTCTCAGAAAACCCCCATTACTCATGTTTCTATTCGACTCTACTCCACCAAACGCAAGAGAACTGGTAAACACAATCACATCCACCAATGACATTAGTCGATTAAGAAACGAGAAGCTCGTCTCCAGGTTCATTCCGCCACAGGGTTGGATGACGTCCTGGGTATAGTCACGTGACGTTACGGAGGACAAGAGAGGAAGCAAGTCTCCACATGCGTAGACGATGTTGTCCGCGAGTACGGAGACGAAGTGAGCGAGATTCCAGATGTATGTAGTGTTTTCTTTGGAATTGACGAAATCCATGACAGTTTTACGAGTGTGGCTGAAAAGTAAGAAACGATCAAAAATCAAAGCAAAGAAAGGAAGCAGGAAGGAAGGAAAAGAGAGATGAGTATGGATGAAGGGAAGAGAAGGATGGACGGGTGGGAAGAAAGAAAGAATAAAAGAAGGGAGGGGTGGAGGAAGGGAGAAAGGGAAGGACGGAGCTGGGAAAGAATTAAGAAAGGATGGAAAAAGAGAAATAAGGAAGATTGAAGTCAGAACTATCCAGCTGAATAAAATATTTATGCGAAAGCTTGGGGCAGGTGAAATCTTTAAATGACAAACAATTTCTTAAGACCCCCCCCCCCCCTTGAAGTTCCCAAAAAAATAACTATCCCCCCC